CTCATTATATAGAGGAGGCCCGGAGTGCGGCTCAGGTGGCGTTCATGAACTCCGGCACTATATTGAAACAGTCGGCGCCCAACCAACTCATGTCGGAATACCAGTGCTCAACACTCGAGGAGGTGTTCCTACAACTCTGCTATCAACATAATAAGGATAAAAATAACGCAAATCTTATTGAACAAAGTAGTGATGATTCAAACAATTTAGGCATAAGTAATATAAACCCCATTGAAAATGATTTGATAAATACTGCAAACATTAGTAGTAAACGCTTAGACATGACACGCGTTAACGCAATGCTAATGAAGTACTGGATATTTATTAAACGCAAACCACAATTCATATTCATTTACTACACCATGGTAATTATAACATTATGCGCTTGGAATTTGATTGTGGGCCGGGATATCAATGGCATTTCAGTCGCTGTATATAACAACGATGAATCCCCACAACGACTGTCCCGGATGTTGATTCATTCAATAGACGACAAACACATAACATTTGTGGATTACCCGGACCTCGAGAGTGCCGTCAATTCCGTACGCAATGGACGTAATTATTTGGCGCTTGAATTCAGACAAAACTTTTCCGACGCTTTCGAGACACGAGTGACCGATCCGTTCAGCGCTACGGATGAGGACGTGGAGGAAAGCCTCATACATTTATATCTGGATAACTCAAGTAACTTAAATTAAATTTTCTGTTTAATCATTTTAACAATCATTATAAATTTTCTCGTTTTCAATTATAAATACCGCACATACGAACACATAATTTCAAAATAGGTGTATTAAATTTAAATTGACATGATCATATAATTGAACTTACCGGTATATGAAATCATATAAAACTTCTAAAATTACAATAACATAAAACGTAATGAAAAACTACTAAATAATTGTATTGTATTTTATAGATGCTGTTATTGGCTTAATGTCGGTTAAATACTTAATGAATGGGTTCACCAACTTTATGGACAAATTAGGGAATGAGGTTGGCAAACCTAATTTATTCGACTTGATTACACCCTTACAAATAACTCAAATCTACCATGGCAATTTAAAAAACGTGTTAAACACATTTGATGTGTTCGGTGCTCCCATGTTAGTAGTGCTCGTCCTATTAATGCCCATGCTACTTTCAGCATTCTTAATGGTCACCGCCAAAACCAATAACACGATAGAAAGGGTGTTTGTGTCGGGCGTTACATCGCACGAGTATTATCTGGCACATGTGGTCGTAAATATTCTCATCAGTTTGGGCCTGGTTGTAATCAGCATGGTAGTAGTATTTGTCGTGTTCAACGTGGAACATCAGGGTAGTTTGGTGGAAATATTGGCGTTACTTTTCTTGCAGACCTTGGTAGGCATAGCTATAGGTTTAGCGTTTTCCTTAATATTGGCCGATGTGGTTTCAGTCATGGTAAATTATAATCTATAATATAATCTATTTTGTATATTGGCTTAATAAATATAAAATTTATTTATCTTGCAGATTTCTATCATGGGCCTATTTATGCCAATAATGATAATTTCTGGAATTGTATGGCCATTAGAAGCAATTCCTAACTATTTCCTAATCGTGACATATATGAGCCCAATAACTGAGCCCATTATCTCCATGCGCAATATAATGGTACGAGGTTGGGATTATTCCCGTAGTGAAGTATATTATGGATATTTAGTTAGTATTGGCTATACCATAGTTGTCAGTATACTTAATGTGCTGTTGTTTAAGAATGTTTCAAACAGGACCTTTTCATTAAACTTTTGGAAAAACTAACTAAATTTGCATTTATAAAATATCTGTAAAATATTACATGTGTATGACACCCGTAAAAGTATATTTGTATAAATTATAATCGGCGCAAAAATTATAAACAAAAAATTTAATACAAAAACTTATCAATATTTTAATAAATTCTAGACTAAACATTAGTGTTTGTGTTACAACCTTGTTTTGAACAACTTATGACATTCTTATCACAATAACTACTGTACTAGTTCAGTTTGTTCATTTTATGCATACCCTCATTTAATAAACACTAATATATAAAAACAATCGCATAAAAAAAATTAACAAAGTAAATATGACTTTTTAAAATTAATTAGTTTTTAATAAATAACTTTAAGATGACCTTTATCATTTCGTAAAGTTTGCACAACTCATTATTCATTTTAAGGCAAATATAGGGAATTCCTTTCAAACTAACAAACTCTCAAACACTCTACTAATCACTGATTTAGGGTCCGATTCCGTACAACGTGTTGATCTCTTGGCGATAGTAGTCGGCGATCGCCCGGCGCTGCAGTTTCATGGCTGCCGTCACGAGACCCGTTTCGGGCGCCCACTGCTCGGCGCACAGGACTACCTTCTCGGGTATCTGTCGCGTAGGCAACCGCCCCTTCCGGCACCAGTCGCGCACCTCTTTCAGTACCCGACCCACGATCTCCCCGTCCGCACACAACTCCCGGAACGACATATCGCCGGACTTGTGTAGCTTCGTCGCCAACGCCCGTATCTGCTTCTCATTCACCACTATCAGGGCTATTAGGTAGGCATGCAGGGGGTCGGCGTAACAGCACAGGTTGTCCACCAGTGGACAGGCCTTGAGCACCGACTCCGTGGTGCCCAGCGTTACGTATTCTCCGGTCGGCAGTTTCACTAAGTCTTTCTTGCGGTCGACGATACGTACGGACCCGTTGTCGAGGATCTCCCCGATATCGCCCGTACGAAACCAACGCACGCCCTCCCCGTCCACCTCGAATGACTCGCTCGTAAGCTCAGGGTTTTTGTAGTAGCCTTTGGCCACGACTGGGCCGCCGATGACTATCTCCCCGCGCGGGTGCGGCTGATCTATAGCCCGGTAGTGACCCTCAGGCCAGTCGATAAGCTTGATTTGTATGCCCTCTAGTGGGGGACCGATGTTACCGACGCTTAAGTCCGCGAAATCCATGGCACAGCCGGCGGCCACTGTCTCTGTCATACCTAATATAAAGTGAGATAATGTTAAACCATGTCAATTAAGCATAGAAATTACTTAGGTTATAATAATTTAGATAAATTAATATGTTATTTACTATTACGGTAAGAATAAATAATATAGTATGCTATTCTGGTTAAATATTAATTTTTAAATTGTAGAATTTATTAATATTATTAAAATTACAGTATATCATTCCATATTTTTAGCAATATTAATACTGGTAACATTTGAAATGCTATTACTCTTACTCTTGTTAGATAAATATTCATGATTGTAATGTTATTTTACAAAATTAGTTTAGATAATTATAAAGATAATCATATTGTACTGCAATCTCAGTAATAATTGTACTGTACTTCTAATGCCTGTATTACAACTTATTAATAACTAAATCATTAACACAAATGAATAAAATAGATTTATATGAATATAAAAAATTATTTAAATTAGCAATTATAATGACATTATAATGACTACTATTATGCCGATCACATACCGTATCCCTGCAATAGTGCGACGTCCAGACAGGCGCGTATAAACTCGTGCGTATCGGGTGATAGTGGGGCCCCACCCGCCGACATCAGTCTCACTCGTCCGCCCAAAAGGGNAGCAATTATAATGACATTATAATGACTACTATTATGCCGATCACATACCGTATCCCTGCAATAGTGCGACGTCCAGACAGGCGCGTATAAACTCGTGCGTATCGGGTGATAGTGGGGCCCCACCCGCTGACATCAGTCTCACTCGTCCGCCCAAAAGGGCCGCCACTTTGGCGAACACCAGTCGGTCGAGTAGTGGTGTTTTGTATCCCTTTCGGGTCCAATAAGTCTTATAACTGACGCAAAAGTCGGAGAACGCGCGGAATAGGAGTCCCTTACTGGCCACCTGTTCGCCCACACCTTTGCGTATGCCGTCCAACACCAGCGGAACGACACATATGAACGTAGGCTTTAGTAGTACAGCGTCGCCCCGGCAGCCCGGTTTGAGTCCGGTGCTGCGGTCGGTCAGCGAATACGGGGAACCGTAGCCGATGGGCATACCGAAGGCCGACACGAATAGCTCGCACATGAGTTCGTACACGTGGGCTAGCGGTAGGTACGCTATGTAGACGTCCCGGCGCGTGAAGGTCTGCGCGATGGGAAAGTAGGCTCTAATGCCGGCCATTATATTGCTGTGCGTTATGATCACACCCTTCGGCCGTCCCGTAGAGCCCGATGTGTACATCACGACAGCCGTGTCGTCCGCTTGAGGTTTATGGTCGGCGCCGGACACGTGTTGACTGTCGGCGCCCAGTGATAGGACTTCAGCGAACGGCGTGAACCGTATGTTGTGTTGAGTGGGGAACAGTTTAGCAAGGTCCGGTTCCGTGGGACCCTCCATGTAGATCATGGACTTAATAGATGGTACCTGGTCAACCACGCGCGCCAATTTCGTTAATAGGTCGACGCTAGTGATCACGTGCGTCACCTCCATCTCGCACATGCCTACAGTGTATACGTACAGGGTTAAATATTGCATTTGCAAATTAGGGAGTGACTATTCCGAAACATATATTAATGATACTACCGGTCATTAAATTGTCTCGTAAAAATGTAAATACGTCAAGTAATTTCTCAAATAATTTAAATTTTCCCCATAAAATACACATTAAAAACATAATGTTCACTGGTTAATCCATGTCTTGTTACGTTAACACATATTTTGTGTAGATAATTAATTTTTATGCCCTGTTAATGACTATTTTAAAAATCTGAAAACTATAGTAAACTCTGCTTTATTTAAGCTTTATTACTGGCAATACAATCTTATTACGCTATTAACTGAACTGAACTGGCTTAAATAATTAATGCTAACATCTTTAATCACAAAAATCTCAAAAACCTACTACCGGTATAAAAACAACCTAGACACACACGTACGGTATTACTTTAAAAATATAAACCACGACAAGAGGTCACACTCGGGGCACACATACCGTGAACCACGGCTTCATCGGTGAGTGTGGCGTATAGAGCGCCTACAGTGGCGCCGATACGCCAGAGTGCCTGCGCGCTGACCATCCATTCATACCGGGTTTCGGCGAATATGACGACCAGATCGCCCGGTCGTACGCCGAGCGCCAGTAGACCATTGGCGGCCACGCCCACCAACTCGTCCACCTCGACGTACGAGAGGAACCGGTAGTCGTCGAGCAGTCGTTTGCGGAACACTTTGCCGTCCGGTTGCCGGTCGTCCGACTCGGCCAACACGCGCCGGTAGCCCACGCACTGTCTGTCGCCGTACTCGCGCACAGCCCGCGCCCACAGCTCGTCCACCGTATGGCACGCGTTGACAAAGTGGGTGTCGGGCACCTGGTGTTTGAGGGCCCGAACCCACGGGCTGTAGGGGCCGGACGGGTCGAGTTGGCGCGCCCGGCGTTGGGCGCTCTCACGCCTCCGGGCCCACGGTTTTTGGGCCAACAGATAGATGGGGAACGTTATGATGTCATAGCAGTAGACCACGGCTTTGATGAGTGCCAGGGGAACGGTAGTCGACAGAGACGTCATAACTGTATATCATATGAGAAAATATATTTAATTTTTTTACACTTATTTGTAGTGATATTGAAAAGACTGAGTGAATATAAATATAATTTTAAAACTAAGTTTGTTATGACATTTACAATAAGGTATTGCACTTATGTGAACACAATGGATAATGCTTTAGCATTAGTACTACCGGTACCCCCAAACCACGCGACTAATGGTACGCACAGTTAGCCTTGTGTTAGCGGAAAGTGCTACTTATTTTAAATCCTATTGTTTTGTGTTTTATATTTATGTGAAATAGTTATGTTATGGGCATTTCAATTAAATTACGCAAACCCATTGTGATCATTATGGGAATTTGTATTAGCATTATGCAAAAATGCTAACAGTAAGATATTTATTATACACAGTATATTATTTATTATTATTTTTTATTTATTTATTTATTATTTAGTATTATTTGTATATTCCGTTTAATTAAAATAAAAATTATTATTTATAAGATAAATAAAAATACATTTCATATAACTATATTTGATTTAGTAATTTTTTTAATTATAAGTTACCAACCTTGTTATGAGTGCCGGATAGGTGGGAGGTGTAGCGATACGTAACTATTTTAAACGATACTTTCCTATTGATTTACTACTAGATTAATGAACACAGACAATTTATAACGACAATTTTTAACAAGCATTTAACACTAAAACTTTACTAATTAATTCACATTTCATTAAGTAATATATTAATCTAGACATTTCGGGAACCAAATTTACATTTGCATTTACATAACACGTTTTAAATAATCTTGTTTTTTAATTATAAATTAATAATTTCAAAATATTGTATGACGAGCAGCACTACTATTACAGTTAATTTCAAAACATTTCATCAAATACTGCACTCCTATGTCAATAAAAATATAGAAATGTGATTATGTTTCCATTGCCAACATCATACCGTATTGAACATGTAGTATACTGTACTCGTATACAATATTATAATCTATATCACACAATTTACTAGACTAAATAATAAAATATTTGCTTAATAAATTAACTATTTTAAATTAATTCGTCATTTTCATTTTATTTATTCATAATAAGTATGATAGTAATCATGAAAATGGTATCACGCGATTTAAGGTGAAATTGAGAGCTGTATTTTTGTTTTAAAAATAACTGTTATGCTCGGACGTCACACCATATTTATATATGGTGTCACCTGGTGCATATAAAACGAGTTTCATTAGCAATTTGTTTGTGAATGCTAGTACAGACATGCAATGCAGACTCTGAGATAAAGTACTTTATCTGTAATACAGAATCTGTATATTGTATTAAGATATTGAATTATATTAATATAGTGGAATAATTCTTAATGTCAACAAGCAAGTTTCTGTTTGGATTCTAACCTAATAAACTTTGTTACTTTTATAGCACATTCAAGATCAGTATACTGTATTTAATAATATAAAGTTGTAGTTATTAATAATATAAGATAATAATGAACACTTTGTATCATTGATTTTTGTTAAGACAATTCAGCCACCACTTTTTATTTATAGTTGCTACTGTCAATATTTAAATAATCTCTGTAAATACATTTGGGTTAAATAAATACAAAATCTTAAACACAATAGCAAAGGACAAATAAATACTAAAAGCACTAAGTATTTGTTAGTAACTTTATTTAACAAAAATTTTTATGATAATTAAAATGGTACATCATTCTCAATACTAAGTTAAAAATTTACCTATTTAATTATTTTATTAGAAATTAATATTTAATTCATGCATTTAATTTAATTTAAATTGTATTAAGTTAGACAAAACAGACAGGCACATAAATAAGCCATGCTTAATAAGTCACTTTAATTTTAGGTTTCAATGTAAAATATTGTTTTAAGCATAAATTATAATAAATGAAGAATTACGATACCACATAAAATGGTATACCTTCGACTACTAAAGCCTTTTACAGATTTAGTATACCTAGTATAATTTTTTCATAAATACAAAATTACTTGCTCGGTCATGGTTAAAAACCCTATATATTAACACATACAGTAAATAATATTGACAAATAATTAATTGGTGTTTAAGCTATATTTAGACACAATCGCATTATAATTGGACATTAAAAACTATTTTTTAAATTAATGACATTTATGAAAATATTAGTAATATAGCGACGTTCATAAATTAAATGAACAAATTGACCCTCTTCCATAGTTCATAAGATTTAACATGTTATTTGATTCTCATGACCCTCCCCCCCTTGTCAGTGTGCGTATGTAATTTGAGTATGCCGACTAAATATTTATTAAGTATTATAAAATATTTACGAAATATTCACAGAAAAGGTGTAAATTAATTTTTATTACTTTATTTACTAATTTGAAGGATAATTTAAAAGAATTTTAAATTTTATTTATATATCAAAAAGTATAAAAAAAATTGTGAGATTTGTTAATAGACAATAATTAAAAATGCTATTTTAATAAATTAAAATAAATTATTAATGAGTTAAGTGGAATGCTCAAATAAATCACATTTATAATAATTGATTTAATCTATTAAGCATAGAAGCTACGATGCATACTGGAGCCATTTGGGGCTACACTATGATTGACAAAACTTTAAACATTTTGACATTAATCTATATACTGACTAATGTTATAATATTTCACTAACTTAGTTATGTTATAATAATTCACGGTTAGATAAAAACGTCAATTATTTAATTTAATATTTGCATAAATATATTATTTTATTCAATTTAAAAGCAATATAATTTAATGAACATAATTTGTTGGCACTATAATTGACAACAATTTCAAAAATATATATAATTTTCCCTCATAAATAATTAAATTAAAATAAAATTCTGTGATACAGTTGTATAAAACAAGGTTTGATTCAAATCAAGGAACACCTATGTTTACGATTTCAGGCTTTAATTTGGCATATAATATGTCTATGTGCTATTTATAGTACATTAAGTTTGTTATTCAAGTTTTAAATCGTTATCATTTAATTCTGATCACTCTGTATATTTGTTTATATAAAAACAATGATGAAAATTTCACAAAAATCTATATAAGCCATACCTATGAGATTATAACAACTATATAGATTTATTAATCTATATTGGCAGTAACATTTATATTAGTTAAATATAAATACTAGCAAACTATTGATTTGAAAATTTAAATTTAGAAATAAAATTTATAACAAATCATATTGATAATATATTTAAAATTTTATTTTACATATTGTTAATTATTATATTTTAATTGACAATAAAGGTATCTTGTAGAATAAAGCCTGATGATATAATAATTTAAAATTATTAATTATAAATTTCTATACTTTATTGCAAGAGTACAGGATGTCTGGCGATGATATACTAGTGTCGGGAATGAGCGGTCGGTTCCCCCTCTCGGCCAACACCGACGAGTTCGCGAAGAATCTGTTCGATGGCATCGATATGGTTACCGATGATGACAGCCGATGGCCAATGGGTAAGACATTCATAGATTTTAGATAAAATTCAAACAATTAATTAATAAAACAAATAATACATTGATGACTTTGAAGGTTTATACGATCTATCGAACCGAATGGGAAAGATTATGGATTACGAACATTTTGATTGGTCATTCTTTGGGCTCATGGATCAACTTGTTGAAACTATTGATCCACAATCTAGATTACTTATGGAGACCACGTACGAGGCAATTTTGGATGCAGGTAAAATAACCATGTTGAAATAATAACATAAACGTTTAATTTAAAATTAGGCAAACTCATTTATTATGTCTTGCAAAAAAAATATATTTAAGCTTTATGCATTTATGAAATATATTTATTGTTAGGTTTAAACCCACAAGAACTACGCGGCAGTAATACCGGTGTGTATGTGGGTGTCTCCCAGTACGGTATGACTGACGGCTACCCGGAGGACATACAACCCGATGCGACGGAATCGTTGCAGTCGGTGCTCATGGAAAACCTGTCGAGTATGAAGACCTTCTACGCCAGCCGTATATCCTTTGTCAACGATTTCAAGGGGCCGTCGATGATAGTGGACACCGCCTGCTCGGCCAGTCTTAGCGCTATGGCACTGGCATTCAACGATATGCTACTAGGTACATTTTCTATTTAAGAATATAAACGCTTTTTTATTTACTGATTAGCATGATCAAGTATACATAATTATGTAACTTTAGAAACCGCATTGCTACACATATTAAAGCATATTGATGTCATATTATTAATAACTAATAACATAATAACACTCTGACCTAGGTAACATCGATGCGGCCATCGTGTGCGGCACTCATATGGTGTTCGAGCCGTTCCTGAATCAGTACCAACAGGAAACGTCCATTTGTTCGCCGAGGGGTGTGTCGGCCGTCTTGGACCAGGAGGCGGACGGTTTCGTGAAAGCAGAGGCCGTGTGCTGTCTATTCCTACAGCGACGCCGGGATGCGCGCCGTAACTACGCTCACGTACGCAGTGCTCGCATTAATATCGACGGATACAAAAAGATGGGTCAGTCCCCGACCATGTTCATTCTCATAATAATAATTAATGGAAATCGTAATTATCCGTTAACAGGCATGTTTTTCCCATCGAGTGAGGCCCAGGAACAATTGATGAGATTGTCGTACGAGAAAGCTAATGTCGATCCACGTGACATCACCTATTTTGAATGTCACGCCACAGGCACCAAGGTATCGTATCATGTTAATTTTCAAAAATATAATAATATTTCTTAATTTTTATTTCTAATATTATTTATATTCTCTGTTTTATACAGTATTATACAGTACATTTATTTTTATTATTTTATAACTATTTCAAAATATATTAAAAATCATCTCAAAGGCCGGAGATCCCCAAGAAATCAAAGCCATTTACAACGTGTATTGCAAAGATACCGGCCGTACGACTGAGTTGCCTATAGGCGCTCTCAAGAGCAATATGGGTCACGCAGAGGCCGGTTCAGGGGTCGCCGGAGTCATCAAAGTATTGATATCCTATGAAAACGAATGCATTCCTCCGAACATTAACCTCAACACTATTAAGGATGAAATCGCTCAGTATTTCCCACCATTGCTGGCAATTAAAGAAAAGTATCCGTATGAACCTGGTTAGTTATGCTTAGGGTTCCCAACTCAAAAACCTAAATTCCTTGGGAATGTAAAAAACCCCTACAAATTTCTTTAAGATTTCTATGAGTATTAATTTTTGAGAAAAATTATTATAAAAAGTATTAATTATTTTGTTTAATTGTCTCGTAATATTATTATTTAATTACATAATAATTTAATTTTTAATATACATTATTAATTTATTTTTTGCAATAATTACTTTAATTTACTAATTTAAGTTTTAATATTTACGGATGAAAACAATATATTGATTGTATATAAATCAATTATTGATAACATAAATTCTTTGAGTTATTTTTATTTCAAATATTTTAGCTTTTCCTAACATCTCTAAAATTCTATAGATTTAAATTATTTGAAAAACGATTTTAAACAAACTTTATTAAAAGGGTCAATATCCCTTTTTGGAATAGAGAACTCCCACTCAATTTTAAATTTGGAAATGACATTTCTAGATTTTTAATTAATCAAGGAAATTTGATTGAGGTTAAGTTGTCACAAGTAAACATTTCAATAACAATAGATTTTACTTTCAACTCACAATTTGTGACACAATTTGACCGATTAGTCTTCGGTATTATTTGCGGACAAAAATTGCAATCATTTGTTTAAACATTTTATATAACTTTAGTTTCAATTTGTATAAACACACTGAATGTCATGTTTCATACAAAAATGCACTAATTTATTGCACTTCAAAGTGGTCTCAAATATCGTATTTACGGTCACTCTCTCCACACAAATGCCTAAACAGTCCAACAGTACTGTCAGTGTTAGACAGTCATTGCGCTGATGAAGGACAGAGACAATTACTGTCCGAAACAAATGATTGCAATTTTTGCCCGCAAAGAATACCGAAAACAATAATCGGTCAAATTGTGAGTTGAAAAGTAAAATCTATTGTTATTAATCAAGGAAAGTTTTGAAAAAATTATACTATTATTTTGTAGAAATTAGGCAAAATTCTAAATATAATTGATTCATTGAGTTTCCCATATCAAGGAAAGACCCCTTCCTTGAGCCAGGAGTCAGACCCCGATTCCTTGAGACTACTGCCTGAACCTTGAGATTTGCGAACCCTAGTTATGTTTATTTATTATAATATATAAATACATAAAATATTTTGAAATATCGAAACAAAAAACTTATGTTCATAGGGTTGGCCGCAATCAATAATTCGGGTATTGGAGGGGCCAACGCACACGTATTACTCGAACCCAACTATAAGTTGTTAAGCAGTGATGGCTTAAGAATAGCACAAACTATACCCAGAATTGTCAACATTTGCGGCCGAACTGAACAGTCAGTCAAACATATCATGGATTTCATTGAAAACAATCCCAAGAAAATCACAAATCATTTTTTGGCACTTTTAGGCCAAACCATGAAATACACACCAACTGTAAACTCATCGGGAATGCCTTATAGAGGTACGAAAAGTTTAAATAGATGTTTGAAATTAAAATGCAATTAATTTTAGGTTCAATTAAAATGAAGAAAATAAGTGAAGAAAACAATGAAATAAAATATGAATACAAGAAACAGATGGGAGTTATGAAAGGAAAGAGTTTGAGACCCCTTTGGCTACTGTTTCCCGGTTTGGGCGGACAATGGCCTGCAATGGCTAAGGCTTTGATGCCAATCAAGATATTCAGTGATAAAGTGGAGGAATGCCATCAGATTTTGGCTGAATTTGGTGTTGACTTAAAAAATCTGTTGT